CGAGGTAAGTAAAACGAGTCGGTATCCGCGAAATCCGCTGCGAACCTTTCGAACAAATTTGCTTTCGATTTTTCTGAGCCGCTAAGGAACGGGGAAAACAGTTTGCTGGAAACTGTGGCTTATCTTCGATCTTAATATCCGGTAACCGAGAGACTCGGTATCTTGAAGAGTGTACGAGCGTTGTAAATCGATAGGGGACACGATTCTACTGATCGAGATACAGAGAGGATATGTGTGTGTGTGAGAGAGAGAGAGAGAGGGGGGGGGGCTCTCCGCATATATTGGCCGGGTCCGGCGATTGATGAGATCGTTAAAGTAGACACACCGTGTATATCTAGTTGGGGTTTCATACAATTCGCGCGAGTGTACACGGGTGCTCCGCGTACGTGTACCCGGTCGCGCGTCCCTGTGTGCACAGGTCAGAATGCACACAGTCTGCCTCAATATGCAGTGATCACTAATGCAATTTCATGGCGCATGCACGTGCAGTAACGAAGGCTTAGGTCACGCTTTCATGTACACTGACTGATTACGTCTTGCCTGTGGACGTGCGCGCGCCCGTGTAACCGGTCCTGTCCCACTGTCGTTTTATCAAAACGATTCGACACGGAATCGGGCTCTCCGCTGCCCACCCAACACATCCATATATACACACACACACACACACACACATATATATACAACATCGGCCGTATTAATTAACTTTCCTGTTTATCCTCGCGGTCCCATGGATTTCGATGCAGGCCGCGACCCTTATCGAGCCGTCTACCTCGTAAACAGGCTTCCGATCTTCCCCTAACTACCCTCAACGGTTAATCGAGTATTAAGAAAACCAGCAAACAGATCAGTAATAAAACTAGACACGCAATAAATATCTCGTTGCATATTTTGAATCGCGTCGAAGGTCATCGTACTGTACAAGATCACTCACAAAGAGATTCCGTCTCTTCTAATTAGTTGTTTCAAAGGGGTTCGAATGATTACAAAAGATTTAACGCTTCGTAATGATGACAAAATTCGATTTATAACATTTATAACATTCACAATTTTTATTATAACGTATGCTTGCTATGAAGAGTCTTTATAGCTGCGACAAAGTTTAAAACAAAAAAATGCGGAACCGTGAAAATGTGAACAGGATGGAGAATCGAACACCATGATTCGAAATCTGGCACGTTTATTCGCTTTTTTCCGTTTCGAAATTGAAGCGACGCAGTTCTGGTCCATAGGATAAGAGCCACCATTGTGTAGTTTAAAAAAAGGCTTTGGAAGGGACAGGAGTGCGGAATGTCCCAGTCGGGGCCAGAAGTTTCTGCTAACTAGCCGAGTGATTTATTTAGCGAAAAAAGCGTGCTTTATTGGAAACACGTCGTGTCGGATATCCGACGCGGCAGCGGCATTGAGAGGCCGAGACGGCGAGTAAGCGAAGCCTGGTCACGGGATGAATTTCAATTATAGTACGCCGCTCTGCAGCTTCTTGCACACCTGTACATTGTGTTTATCAGCTGTCGCGCGCGCTGGACACTATCCCGTAAATTCTATTCAACGCTCTTGATCCCTGCGCCCTGAGAAGCCGATCCATCTTCTGTCTTCCAACCTCCGGAGAAGTTGATTTTTCGGAATTCTCGCGCGTTCGCTGTTCGTTTTGTGAAATTTCAAAGAACACGGAATTTCCACTGTATTTCCGCGACAAGCTGCAACAGAAACCGCGACGGGATCGGCGTTTCGACGGTTCTGGAATTGGGAAACTTCCCGGATGCCTCGGTCTCCCTCCGCTGGCCTGGAAAACTTCTTAACGATAGCCTGTATTTTTATTGGAGTAAGTAATTACCGGTGCTTGTTCGACGTAACGACGCTCGTGCCTTGTTTTCTCCCTTTTTCTTCCTCGAACGAATTTCCTCCGATAAATACAGGATGTTTCTACAATCCTGGTACAACGGACGGCAGACTGATGATCCTTTGCGAAAAGAATCGTTTCCCGCGAAATTTTCACTTTTTCGCAACCGGACGCTCGTTTACCTCGTGTTTCGAAACGACTTCAATTTCGAAAAATTACGGTCAGCTGGAAATTGGCCGAACATTCGATCGAATTCTACAGAAACTATCGACTAACTATTTTACCATCTACTGGAATGTCTTGATGAATGCGGTCTTCTTATTTCCGAAAAGGAATAGATTTATTAAATAGATTCTATTTAATGCTCGACGGTGGTTCCAGCGTTTGATTGTATTAGTCGCGAAGTCCACGGCCCGGTAACAAATGTTCCAGTCGAGTTCTAATGAAATTGCGGGATTAAAAATCGCGAGATAAAATTGCGGACCGTAAGATTTTCCGGGGAACTTCAGCTGTTCCGTTCGCACGGAAGATTCGCGGTAAGTAGAATCAGTCGGGACTGGTCGGACAAGTTGGCCGAGCACATTTAAGCGCGCGTGTCCGGGCCGAGTATTCAAATTGAATTCTCGCTGGGTGTCGCGTTCTTGAAACTTCGTAAAAACAATTTACATAGCTCGTAAAGTCGCGCGGGCCGAGAAACATACTGCGCGTCGCGACCGGAATAATCGCGGCCGACTAGAACGTGAGTATGATTAAGGTGGCAATTAGTTCTCTGATTAATTTTAATAGATCGCCCCGCGAGGTCGCCGCCACCGCCGCCGCCGCCGCCGTCGGCGTTCGACCGTGATGGCTGATAAAGTTTCACGGAAAAACAACTTTTACGACCGCACGCTTGCCTGGAACTCGTTATGAAAATTCCTGGAAAATTTATAGAACAGATGTCTGAATACCGTTGTTACCCGCGGCCGAGAATTTTATTAGAATCAGAACTATAGAGGAACCCTTGCCTGTACACCGGCGAAAGTTGGGCGGAATCGCTGCTGCAGAATCCAAAGTGGAAATCAAAACTGTATTCTGTCGCTCTATTCGTTTCCACGTTGCTCTTCTTCTTCGCGTCTTTATTCCGCGCCGACCTAAAATATTTCTAGCAGCTTGTTCTCTCTGTCCAACGAAGCAGGAACTTGAAATTCGATTTCATTCTATTTATTTATGTATACAGGTGAATGCTCGTTTTTCCAACAACTGAATTTATAGGCATTTCTCAAGATAGGGCAGGAACCCCCTTAACCGTACATTGATTTTTACTTTTACTCCGGTATCTAAACGTTCCATTATCTAATCATTGTGTCATTTAGATATATTATCACCTTATAGAGAAATTGAACGAAATTGGTAGATAATAGAACGTTTCGGTATCAGGATAATACAAAAGTAAATCTTCCGATAAGAGAGGCTCTACTGTATTAGGAAACCGCATCGGCGATGCATGTTCGACCATCGAGAATTAAGGGATGAATTATTTCGAGGGTAAACCGATAAATTCATTGTCTCGCTTATACGATATATATCCGGTTTGCGGACTGCGATTGGAAACTTGCGTTCTATAAAAAATTTGGGAAACCGACAAATTTATTGCCTCGTTTATACGATATATCCTCGGCTTGCGGACTGCGATTCGAAACTTGCCTTCTATGAAAAATTTTGGAAACCGATGAAAATAATTTCGGGGGCGAAGTTTTCGAGGGACCGATAATTATCCGCGACGAGTAGAGTAGGCGAAGCGTAATTTCCGAGGAAACAACGCGGTGTCTCCCGGAAGTTCATCATCCCCTTCGTCCGTCGAATCTCGAGATAATTCACGAAGGTTTAACGCGGCGTCGTCGAGTGGTTAGTATGCAAGCCGCAGGGGGTGGCTCGACCATCGTCTGGCTTGCTTTCCCACGGAAAAAACGAGGAGACCGAAGGTGAAGATTTTCTGCTGAACCGGTGGCTCTCCGGACCACCAGCCGTGTAACAAGCTCTCTTTCTTTCCCTTCCTCGGCTCCCGCGTCTCCTTCCTCTTCCTTTTTTCCCTCTATTCTTTCTTCTCCGCTTCCTCTTTCGATTCCACTTCGCGGACGCGCGGTAGGTCGTATGCAAATTGCACAGACGAATCCAGGGGGCCGAGAGGAAAGAGCTTCTAAAGCGGCGCGCACAAACTTCTCGCGGATTTTTCTGTTCGCGGGTCTCCCGCGAGATTGTTCGAGACCTTTCTCCCCGCTGTTGCTTGTATCGAAACATCCTCGATTCAACCCTCGACACAGTCCTGCGATTATTTATTTTATAACTTCTTCGCTGTTTAAACAAATTCTACTCCGCGAACCGTTCTCCGCGGACGAGCTTACCGCGCGCGGCTTTCCGTCATCCCGGCTGAAATCGTTGAACCGGAGAAGTCGGTATTTTAATCCGGAGATAAAGGTTCCCTCCGCTTGTGTATCGAAACAAGGTTGATTTAACTCTCTGCAAAGTTTTGCAATTATTTGTTCTATAATCTCTTCGCTATTGAAAATGTTCTGCAATCTGTTCTCTGCGAACGAGCAGTTTGCTGTTCTCTAGCAAACGGAACGACATTTTTAATCGCGAATCGATCGAATCTCTGAGAAGGCAATATTTAAGAATCGCGCAAATAAAATTACAAAGATAAAGCAATCCGAACAGCGGAGAAGCAACGTATAAATAAATGATAAGAAAATGTTCGTGCACGGCTGGAATCTACATTTTCGTGAACGCGTGTCACGCGTACGGTAAACCCTTGCAGCCGGAGATAAGCCGGGGCCATCCCGTAATGGTATTCACGTGCCACCATGGGAAACTCCCTCGTTCTCCATGGGATAGCCTATCAGACAGCCGGGAAAACCTTTGGACAGGACGCGGAACGAGGGACCAGACTCGTGACTGCATTCCATGCATTTTAAAAGGCCACGAATTACGTTTCTTGAATCATCGCGCTCTCGCTCGCATAAGAACGCCGCGTCCTCCGCCCTCTGAATCGAATACCTTCCAGCAAACAAGCTCATCCATGAATTTTCACTTTCGTTACTCCCTTTTCGCTTTAATCTCGCCGCCGCCGGCGCAATCAACGGGATCTCTTAATAAAAACTAATTAATTCTCTCGTTTCTGTTCCAGGAAGAACAGCTCCACTCTTGAGAGGTTCCACTTGCAGATCTCCAGGACGGAACTATACCCGGTGAACTCGAAATACGTCGAACCGTTGCTCAGGGAGATCGCGACCAGGCCTATTGTCCACGTTGGTGAGCATCCTTATTTGCCTAATTATTTTTTACGGATTCTTTTGAACCTCGAATAGAAATTAATTGGCCGACTTGTGTCTCAAGATAGAGTACTTCGTAACTCCTGCTCCTCTTTAGTAAAAATAATAATAATAATAATAATAATATTTATTTGATCAACGGAAAAAAGTCCCTGCGTTACAACAGTTATAAAAATGTCTCGCACAAGTAGCATATCGAACAGAAGCGAAGAAAAGAGATGATACGATAGAAGAGAAAGTGCATGTATAAAATAAATAAATAAGTAGAAAATGCTTGAAGGTTTTCGAACGAAAAACAGATCGTTTATCGAGGTATTTGCGAAACGATGGAGTCGCGGGGGCCGTTCAGTAGAATCGGACGCCGCTGGTCAGCCGTCCTATCTCGAGCGCGATGTATAACAATCGAAATTCTTGGCCCGGTCGATATCGATCTCGTTGCCCTGGGGCTATCGCAACGATCGAGGCCCGTTGTAATATAAATTTCGCGAGCGACAGTGCACGCAAATCGTGCCGGGAATTTTTCCCCGGGCGAAATAATGGATGGTAAGCCGTGGACTCGTACGTGGACCTTTATTAAATTTTCTCACAACGAATCGACCTTTCCCAGGGAGGATCCTTGCTCCCCCGCGTCCACGAAGACGATGGTTCCTTGCTGAAGAAAAAGTAATTCACTCGTTTCGAAAATATATTCGCGCTGGCCTTGCCCGGCCGCGTTCGTTTGCCGTGCACTCGCGCGCGCGCGGCTCTCCCCGACTTTAAGTAATTAAGAAACAAAAACATCGCTCGAAGCTTCAATACTAAGTGGTAGAGAAGACGGGGGACGGAAAGAGGATGAAAGTTAAAGCTCCTTTACGATCCCCGGAGTTGCTGAATCTTCGGCATATTGAATAACTGAATCGCAGAAACTTCGGGATCCAGAAAATCTGCAATCCCACTGCCGGTTATGAAATTCTCCGCTTTGTTCCCGACCCCATCAATTAATTTCCCGTTTGATCGATCAATTAGCCCGCTCCTCTTGAAACTTCGAAGTCGCGGAAAATTGTACGCGAGCCTTGGACATTGTTGCGAGTGAATTCCTCTTATCTCCTCGGCGCCAGTCCGCTCGAATGAAATTTCACGAGGCAAGAACAACGACGCGGACGGCAATTATTTCTCGATCGAGATGAATCCTTGATTTCGCGCGACGTCGGTAATTTGTCGCTATTGCTACGGCCGTGGAACCGATGCAGGGTCGGAATGGGCAGGGTTTCCAACGGGAAGCCGAAGCAACAAACAAAACGGAACGCATAGGGGAATCAGACGCGTGGACATAAAATTAATCCGAAAAGTCCGGAGCAATGATCTTCTCTGTTCGAATGAATTTCTCTCCGGCCCATGAAGCCAGTCAATTAACCGGCGTTATTGTGACCGTGGCTTTGTGCTTAGTAATTGCTGGGACGCGGTTCATTGACTAACAATGCCGATCGGAGAACGGTGGTGGGAAGAGCGAAACAGATAGCGGTCTCGAAGCGGAACGTTTTAAAATTAGAGCTGGCACGGTGTTGCACGCGCAATTTCCGGCTCGATCGTCGCGTCGACTCTCGCTCGATTATTTATATTCGCCGTGCACACGCGTATCGCTCGGCTCTTTTTATCCGACAAGCCGTTTGAATGTCGTGCCGAAACGATCTCGCGGTTGCGAACAGATAAGGCGGTTCGTTCGCGACTATCAATTATTATACCACTATCTGGCCGCGGCCCGTCCGCGAAACAGCAGCGTATTATTACATCGCATCTGCGATCGCAGCGATGCCAACGCTCCTGGATGCTTCAATTGTTGCGAATTCTATGGAATTATCTAGCCATTATGGACGAACCAGAATTTTTTCGTTATTCCGCAACGATTGTAGGAATTTTTTAGACTTTGCTGTACCTTTGTTGAATATTCTTCGAATATTCGACTTTAGAATTGTAGATGAAGATGTTAATTGCGTTATTCGAAATCATTCACAATAGAGGTGCACATTTTCTACTAACTTGTGTAAAATTTTATATTTTATAAATTCGCATGAAGATTAGTCTTTTAAATGATATTGATGCCGGATTCTAGAAGGAAGAGTTAGAAGATCGTTTAGAAGATAAACGAACCCAATTTTTGTTCGGCCAAGGAATATGAATGAAAATTCCGGAGAAATCGAAGGATGCTGAGGGATTTGCGTAATTTCGATCGCACCCCGATGATAGTTTGTTAAACAAATCGCGCGGCAAGGGAACGAAGTTAAATCAGCGCCAAGGAGTCCCCGGTCGCCTGGGATCCAATTATTAAGCAGTATCGGGCTGCCGTAGGAAATTAGATCGTCGATCAAAAGGGAGGGTGGGACAAAGACGCCGCCCGGGCATCTCGGTGACAAAGCGGGTCGATCCAAGTTGCTAAACAATAATTAAATTGCGCGGAGAGAGCGAGGGAGAGAGAGAGAGAGAGAGAGCTCCGGAAGGAGCGGAGAGAGAGAAGAGATGCGAGGCTGCCGGCATTCGATACTCTGAAAGCTGATTTCGATACGTAATCAGGATCCACGAAATTAGACGTTTAATCAGAGCGGAATCTCGACGACGCGACGCAAGGCGAAAAACTTTGCCGGAATTCAATTCGTTGGAACAGAAATTTTTGTTTGTCCACCCCTGGCTCCTGATTCGCCATTCTGCATTTTCCTTCGGCGGTCGCCTCGTTTGCTCCGCTTAAGAAAATTACGCTAACTTGTTCCCAACTTTTTCTCCGTCAACTTTCCAGCCTTATTTTTGTATTTTCTGTTCGACGAAGAGCTTCCCATCGAACTATATCAATTTCTGTTAACAAACCAGTGGATCTTGCCACACTCGAGGGTATCAGAACTTTCCCATCCGTTTTTCCGATACTTCCCCTGCCTTTGTCCATCCAGCGACCTTCGAACTTTCCTCGAGTTCAAGGTGAACCTCTCGAACAGCCTCCACCGTCGACACCAAAGGTCTCGGTTATATGACTAAAAATAAATAGAAAATAATCGCGACACGAAATTGATATTGTCTCTGCCACTGTTTGCGCAACACGCTCGTGACTATTTCGCGTTTAGTTGCCGGTTTGCGTCATCGCCGACCCGATTCCGTCGACGATCTTCGCCGACCTTCTTCAAAATCTCTGATAAACACCGATGTTTTTAAAAAACTGCTTTACGCAACAGCCAGGAAATAATTGCCTCCATTAATCCTTTGTTTCGCTGGGAAAAAAAAATGTACTCTCGTTTGCGGAAACGAACTATTTTATTCGCGAAATAAAAAGTGAAAAACCTCGCGTCTAGTTGCGAAGCAATTTCCGCATCGTTGGTCAGCAAGATTGGCGGAAGAATCGCGTCCGCCTCTATGTGTGGTGGACACGCCGGTCACAAAGTGTTAATGCGGTCCGGTCGCGTAAGTAGTTCGAGTCAATGACTTGCGCGACGCGACAGCACGTCGACGATTAATTGCCGCGCGTGATAAATCGACCGCGGGTAACCTGCGCGGCTGGTACCTAAATTAGGCATACATCATTTCTGAAATTGACACAGTGAACGACCGATCGATACGCCTCCGTGCATCTCTGCCAAGAATTTCTCCGCGCCGCGAAAAAATCGTTACAACGTCCAACAAATCCTGCAAGAATACGGAACCAGATATTCGCGGAACTCGTTGAAATTGATTCGCGGAAACAAAGGTCTTATTGCCACTTTTATGAGCTAATTTAAAACCGCTGTTTTTATCCGTGCTCCATAAATCCAGTGTCGCTGCGCAATCGACATTGTGCCATTTCTAATCGTCGGACAAATCAAATTTTTTATGCAAAGTGAGAGCGAATTCGCGACTCGACGAGACGCTCGAAAAAACAACTTTCGTACTTGCCCGCGGCAGCGGACCACTTAGGATAATTTTTCGCGGGATCATCGGAAAGCGCCATTATCGGAACGAATGAATTAGAAATACTTTTGATGGTAGGGTCGTGCGATTCGAAGCGATTCGGGGCCGATAAGAGTAGCAGCCGTTCGGAATCGGTGCTCGACGAATGCACTCTGCTGATTATTGCTTGATATCCGCTCGCCGGCCGAGTGCAATTAGGCGGGGTTTAATCGCTGCGGGGCCAATCGAATCGAAAATCCACGATCGTTCCGGTGAAATCGAGCCGGAAAACTACTCCTAAGCAATTTGCGTGTTCCGCTCCCCGGGCAGGATAATCGTCAGCCCCTTTTTCCCCCTAACCGGTCCCTGGATAAACAATCTCTGGTTTTTACTCGAGGTTCCTTTTTCTATTTTTGTTCGCAGTCCAGAAGGAGGGTGGCACGCAGCTCAAGCTCGAGATCAACTATTCGTACATGCAGGCGCTCTTCAAGCCTATGAGGTGAGTGCAACTTCATTTCTCGCGAACTTGTTCGCTTTACTTCGATGTTCAGAGTCGTATTCATTCTTCATAGAAGATTCGTTCGATTTGATTCCGTTTTAACGCGTTCGCTACATTGTCCAATTTTTTGTATACAATCTGCTCGATTTAAAAATATCAGAACGTTTCGGCGAAAGAATGCGAAGTGGTTCCCTTGATTATTAGACCGCGGATTTGTACATTTACGAGAGAAATGAGTAGATCGAATTAAAAACAGTCGTAACATTTAAAGACTTTGAAAAGAATTTTTTAAAACGAATAAATATCTGTGCAGACAATTTTTATTTTACCGTTCATACCAACGTGCATAAAATTGGGTCTACCAAATTCGTGTAACGTACGAACGCGTGTCTGCAATGCTGTCGGCGTTAATGAACATTTTCGAGGGACTTGCAGCTCCGTGGACCGTCGTTTGCCCACGAAATGTTGCAGTTTTTGTTGCGCGAGACGAGATCCTCGAAGAAGCACGCATTCTTTCTGAAAAGTTCGAGTACATCCCGCCGGTTAACCGAAGGAGTTGCGAGAGTTGCTCGAAAACCGGCGCTTATCTCTAGCGAACGCGTGAGAGCTATAAGTAACATTCGGCTCGGCGAATGCACTACTTAGTGTTACAAATGAACGCGCAAAACTTCGGGGATGAAGATAAGAGGGGAAAGTTTCGCGCCTTGGGACTCGGGTTTACCGCAGATTATTTTGACGGTAATCGAATCCGCGGGACTCTCGCAACCGCTTCCCGAAGTCGACTCGATAAAATCGCGGAGTCTCGTTGTTGGACACGTTCGTTCGAGGGATTAACAATTTATTTAATCGGCGAACTTGCGCGAACACGTTCCTGCGACTCGATCTCGCAGCAGTTGCATCCCTCTCTAACTTGGCTGTGTCATTGTCACCGAGAACAAAGCGGTCCTTTTTCAGGACAAAATTCATCCTCGATGCTTCTGGCAAATTTCTTGCTAATCACACAGTGTGTTTACCGATTAACAATTCTTTAATCACTCTATTTACGAAGCGTCGAATACTAGGTCCTTCTCCGAAAAATCCGGCAGATAAAATTCAATGAAAAAATCACTCTTCAATTGGACGGATTGCTTTTAATTCCTGCTGCTATTTCCTGCGGTCGAGCGTGATGCGATGGCTGCTAATTTCCACTACCTACGAGTAATTGCAACCAATTTCTGCATTCTAGCGTTTAGCTAAAACAATTGCCACCAAGTTGCGCAACTATTCTCTTCGACCGAGCCAAATTGCTATCAACTTCAACCGCCGTTTTCTTCGACCGTGACACAATCGCACCCAATTTCCAAGTTCTCCTCCCGTTGGAACAGTCGCTGCTATAATAGATCGAGCTATTAATTTCGACCGTAAGGAACGTCGCTTAAAAAAAAGAGAAAGGACTGGATGCTCGCAAAGGAGACGAGTATTTCGTCCTCGAGCACGTTTCCGTTCGGGAAATGTCGTCGAATAGCTCGGAGCCTAGGCCGAAGAAGCGGCGCATCCGAGAAGTCACGATCGACCAACCCTTGCGAAAGCGTTTCTGGGTCTGAGACAATGGGAGGATGTGACGTATCGCGTTTTTTTCTGAACGGAGAAAGCGAAAGAGAATGCGGGCCGGAGAGAAAGGGAGAGAGCGAGCACGGGCGATGATAATTGAGTAGAAGAGGCAAGGACAGTTCGAGTGGCTCTCTCTCACGGCACGAGGCACTTGGGCCTCCACTTATGTAATTGTGCTCGTAATCCCATCCCACGTAACTTCGTCAGCCGTGCACGATGCACCATGCACACCGTGCACACGCTGCACGCTGCACTGCGCGCGCAGAAAAACCACAGAGAAACCGCGCGACAGCCTCTCGGGGTGGAAGCCGAGGAAAAAAGGGGAGGAAACGGGAAAACACGCGACGATAATCCCATAATTTCGCACGGTGGCTAATAGTTTTTCCCGATTAAACCTCGTTACTTGTACCTCGATCCTCTGCTCGTTCTCCTTTGCTCGTTAATCTATCATTTTTCTGGGTCGCTTTTTCGATTCTATCACGAAATGAATCCTTCGTTGCTCCACGGAAACCTGCTGATTAGATTGTCCACACGACGTCTGCAATGCTCTTGACCGCTCGACACACGAATTAAATGAATTTCGCTGTGGTCAAAGACATATAATTATGAAATAAATTAACCTTTTCAGTGCTATGCGCGCTGTTTCGTAATGATCAAAGCTTTCGTCGAAGGCGAGAAAAAGCGAACGTGCGAAAATAATTTCGGTCGCAAAGGGTTGCGAATAAATTACGAATGCGAGGAAAGTACAAAAATCGTTGAAGCACCTTCGATGGAGCTGGTCGATGAGCGATCAGTCGCAGAGCGAGCGCAATAAACACGGCGGGGCCGATCTATTAAAGAGTAAAGAGCATGGAAAGTTCTCGGGGGCCATAAATTCGGGTGGTCCCCATCCGGCAGGGAGCCGATCGTTTCGAACGAGTTACCGAGGGCCAACGTTAGTGAACCCGTGCGCCAAGGGTGCGCAGGCGGTCGAGAGGAGAGGGAATAAAGTAGAGGAAACGTAATATCCCGAAGTGGAGAGAAAATTCGAGACAAGTGAGGGTCGTCGTCGCTTATTGCGACTCTTTTTATCTGTGCCGCACCTTTCGGCTCTTCTCGACGAGTCCTCCAGCCTCCCCGACACCCTCGCCGCCCTCGAAGCCAACCCCCGGCGCACACACTCGGCCCTTTAAACTTCCGGTCGGCCGAAGATTCCGCGATAAGTGGCCGAGAGGCCGGCTTAAACTCCGGTAATAAGTTCGGCAATAAGTTCCATGGAAAGTTTCCGGCCTCGGCCAACCCCGGCCAACCAACCCCGGTCGTCCATGGTCGTCGCGACGCCGACGCCACCGCCGCCGGGAGGGACAGAGAGGGAGAGAGAGAGAGAGAGAATTTGCCGAGCGAAATTGCGAGCGTCCCGACGCCACCAATCCCGCAATAAGCTCTCGTTATACGTTAAGGAGGACACCTCTTTTTCTCGTTTCGAAACGAACGAGCCCCGGCTTTCTTTCCTACTTCTACCGCCCGCCTCCGTTCGCCCCTCCGGAGATTCATTGAATGGACAATTTCTCGCGACGCTTCTCTTTCTCTCTCTCTCTCTCCACGGCAAATTATTTCTTCGAGGATCTTTTTATTGCGACCCGCGTGAAGGCCCTTTGATTGCGCACTTCGACCCCTACTGTACATCCTCGAGACGTCTCCTCAACGATTTTCGTCGACTTTTCCCTCCACGGAGCATACTTTTCCTTTACCTTTTACTCCTCGGACAAATTGTCCTAAAAATCGGCCGACTTCGGTTTCTTTTTTTTCAATTGCAGGAACCATAACAATCGTCGTCGGACTCGCAACCCCTTGGCACAGAAATTAAGTCGACGTGGCCTCACGTACGATTTACTTTCTGATTTTATATACCAGCTGAAGAAACGAATACGTTGCCGGTGACATTAGCCGACAATGTTGATTTTAAATATGTTAAAAATATTTTCAAAGTCTTTTTGCATCAAGTTTTACATCTGAATATTTAAGAATTGTCTCGGAGTCATAATATAACCTATCGAGCAGCAACAGTCACCGACGTGCATTACATCGTACGAGCGAGCAGATCGAATTCTTCAATAACATCATTTATTCAAACACTTTTACGACAGAGGCTCTATAAATTGGAGAATGTTAAAATAAGAAACCGGCCGTTTTAGCATCATAACAGAAAGTGCAAGCTGACATGCCAGCTACATTTATGGATGCCTCGTCCGCGGTCGGTGCTATTTCCCGGCATCTCCATTTTAGACGGTCTTGAATTTTTCGACAGCAGATAACATTGATTACTGTCTCTTTCGACGTGTGCGGCTCCGGTGTCCGTGATCGGTCATTTTCTCCGAATAACGCATTAAATTTAGTCTCGCATATCGCGCACACGGACAAGCGTCTTCCGTTAACTAGTTACAGCTTGTTATTTTTGCACGGTCCACCGGTTACCGGCCACGGTTTATTCTGTTCCGCGAAGATTACCTTGTACTCGCCGGCTCGACGTCGTTTATTATTTCATCTCGGCCGCGTATTTTTGTAACAAGTACGATGCGCTCTTTATTTTCACCGCGGAAGTGCACGGAGCCGCCGTGACGTGCCTCCACGAAAACATTAGGGCAGCTGCTGCGTTCATCCGACGTGTACAAGTTGCACTCTAAACAAATGCCGCATTAGCCGCGTTATTTTATTTACAGCGTACGGAAGTTCCCGCCCCCTTCGCCGCGGTAGAATATTCCCGCGAGAAACCGGCTCTCCAATTTCTGAAACGATCGCGATGTCCCGGATAAGAAGCATTTTCCATAGTTCGGTTCCCCGAATTCGAAAAAAACATCGAGTTTCCCTCGTCGCGCCGCAGTTGCCGAACGCGGTTCAGGCGTTCCCGTTATTCAATTTCGCGCGGAACTTTTTGCGTTCGAGTGCCGCTCGCTCGATTATTACAAACAAATTCCGGGTTTCCTCGTTCCCAGGAAATATCCTTCGATTAATCGCGGAATTCGTCGAACCCGATGCTCCGCGGATCGATTTCCTCCTCCACCGGGGCGGGGGCGCGTGTGCTGTAACGCGCGCAGAATTTCCGGTATAGATTTATCGAATATAGTCCGGTAATGCGTTCCATTTAACTCGTTAAAACGCGAATGGCTTCGCGGCTCGGCAGCTGCCATTTTTCTTCGGCGGTGCCACTCGCGGCCCGATCAAGCAGCAACAATTACCATCGACCTACATCATTACCCGGCTGTAATTAGCGTTAGGCCGCGCACGGTTTTGCGGACCGGCGGCCAAGTGCTTCTCCGATTTTTCACGAAAATTCCCGCGTCCGTTTAAATTGCCCGGAATTACCCACGAGTGGCTCCGAATTCGTGCTGAAAAAAAAATCAACAGTAATCGGTCCCCCGTTCCTCGGCCGATGATCCGGCGCCGGTCATTATTTTCAACCGCCTACGCGAGCCAAAAGATTCTTTCTTCGAATAACCGATTCAACAGCCAGAAATTCGACGATTTCGAATACGATTTCGAATCCAGCTTGTTCGAATCAGGTGTCGTCGCGTAGCGATCGAGGCGACGAAAGGACAGCGAAAAGTAGCGAGCAATGGCACGCACGGTGCGCGCCCTTATCTCCGAGGTCGTCGTGCTCCAGATGCTAAACACGACCCATAAATCAGAAAGTTCGCCGGGAAGGAACAATTAATATTCCCGAAACTGGCAGAATAAATTCGACGGTGGGTCGTATAACGGGTTCATTTGAATACGCCCAGTGTGACGGGGAGGTCTTACACCGGCGCGTAATTATTCCGGGCAAACGCCGGTTATCTTTTCCACACACTTTGCCGAAACGGCCGGGGGAGAGAGAGCAAGCGGGAGAGGTAAAGGTTCGGGCCGAAAATTCGCCGAAGGAAGCTCTCGGTAAACAAAATTATGCTCGGCGAAGTCGGAAGGTCAGGAGATGAAGCCGAGTCTGGATGGCTGGTTGGCTGGATGGCTGGATGGCTGGATGGCTGGCTGGTTGCCTCGCGACGCCAGTTAACTTTTAATCAGATGCAAATTACGCGCTAATTACCCGGCGACCGTCGTATTAATTAGCCCGGCCTGCTCGGAAAAGTTCCTAGTCTCGGCCAGCCGCGGCACACGGCTTTTCCAAGTCCCGCTGCTTCGTTTCTACTCGTCGCTGTCTCGGCTGCTGCCATATCTCCAACGAGCCTCCCGTGTCCCGTGGCATGTTAACGGGGCTATTAGGCGACAGAGGGTGCTTCTTTCAGCCGGAGAAAAATTATTGAATTTTTTTGCAAAGTTTTTACCGGTCCGTATCGTTCCGCAGATGTCGTATCGCCTCTCGATGTTTTTAAATATGTATTTCGATTTTCTCGTCAATTCTCGGTAACCCTTTCTGTCTGCGAAAATCTGCAGATATTTTCCTGCGAGTTAGGGCTGTTCCTACTTGCCGGTATCGATCGCCAGATTTTTTAAAATTTTTGTTACCTCGTCGTCGATCGACGGTGGCTCTTTTTCTCTCGGGGATTTTTCAGATATTTTTTGGCGAATTCAGGCCGGTCCCCGATATAATATCAATCTTCCGAAGACTTCGCAGCATCGCCGCGATTCTCCGAAATATTTTCACTTTGTTATCAATCGTCTTTAGCCGCGTATCTAAAACGATTCCGCCATGGAAAGTCAGCGGTGATCCTCCTCGACAATGGATGTCTTCCCTTATCCGAGAGGTCAGACATTTCGGCCATCTATTTTCTATTTTCCGTTAGATAATTTCTTTCGTGAGACGGTGAAGGATTTTCCATTCGAAAATAGATCGCTTCTCTCCCTCTCTCTCTCTCTCTCTCGGCAATCTATAGTTTGTTTGATAAAGCACGGGTCATCTATTTTCTACCAATTGGCCAGAATAATTTGCAAACCGTTCCCCTCGATTAGCCCCGGAAAGGAGATTTACGGTATCTGGGACCAATAAGCAGCAGCTTACGCGATCTTTGAGTACGAATATATGAAACGATTCGAAGTCGTCGATCTATTATCGCCGACACGGCAGTCTCGACCACCTGCAACCTTTCCTAGCATCGATAAAGCGACGCTGTAAAACGGTGAACTTCTCGGCTGACATTTGCGCGAGGGAATCGTCGAAATTCCCTGGAAATGTAGTACGAAAACGTCGCCTCGATGACGATGAATTAACTAAACATTTTTGATCGTGCATTAAATCTTTCGCCCCCGTTTCTCTTTCGGTGTACACAATTCATACATTCGTTCGTCGTGCATTCGTTACAAATTTTGCGCAATTCGTCGTACGTTTTTTAATAAGCGTCGCGCTCGAATATCAAGCACGATATCCCACAATGAAATCGTCTCGTCTTATTTTTGTAGGACTTCGAAGCGGATTTTTCCATTGCTCCGCAAATATTATTCATCGCATGCGTTTCGGTTCGGTCGGCTCCATCGCGCAGAATTTCGATTAAGAATAATTGTCTTCGAGGTTCCGCTATTATTTACATTCCCATCGAGTCCCGTTGGAACACGGTCGTTCAACGTCAGTACATCGCCGGAATTCAGGCTTCTTGTTTCCCTCGCCGGTATTCCGCAAGAAAAGGTGCGCACGTACGCGAAGGATTCCCTCGGGATGTCTTTTTTATTTATCGCCGTCGACTTCCACGATGGAGCCGGCTAGCAAAGCGGCAGAGAGGGGAAGACAGGGAACATAGCGTTTTCTTCCACCCACACACTCTCTCTCTCTCTCCGGGCTGCCTCGTATCGCTGTGTTTTCCCGAGGAATCGTCTCCTTTTAGATTCCGACGTCTCCGGCGCTCCTTCGGTCGTACGTGACGCGCCCTTGAACGGGAAAAATATTTTTCCAGAAACAACGGGAAACTGCAGGCGAACGTTCCGTCGTCGAGAATTACCTTTCCCGACTGTCTGAATCGACTTCCCTGCGCGACACTATTTTCCAATCGTTATTACATTATTTCGTTATCACATTTCAGACTCCGCAATTAACGCTATTCTTACCGCAGACTTCGAAAAAACAGCTAATAGAATTTTATTTGATACGATTTCTTGCGTTCGATCTCACTTACAAATTCTCCTAAAATGATTATAAAATTAATTTGCTAGGAATAGACGTCGTGGTATGTTTTTCACTAACGCGACCGGGCTTGAGTCTTTTTTTATTGTTCTAGACTTTGATATAGGGTAATTTAGTATAGGGTAGTCTGACCACTTTGGTTTCGAATTTCGCTTGGGGTTATAGGTCAGGATGAGGTGCAAAGTTTTACGCGAATAAAAGGTTTCGAACAAATCCTGTAAATTAATTCCCGAAAATTCACCGTTGCGAGAACATCTCTACGATTTAGCTTTTAACTGTTGGAACACGAGGGCGAAGATTTTCCGCCGTTGTTTTCGAATGCAAGGTGTTATTCGTCGACGATACAAGTTCGCAAGAAAGCGGATACCACTTTCCGTTTCCACTTTCTCCGTCCCTCCGCGCTTTCAGGAGAACTTCCCCCGCTCGTCTGTTCTCATTGGTAAAGCTCGGCGATGCCCTTGAACGGAAAAGTATTTCCCGGGAAACGACAAATTTCCCTGGGGCTTCCATGGATCCGCGAGGCGCGGCGCGCCCGCGAAAGACATTTCGGCACGTGTGCGGCTCCCACGGTTTTTTTACGGATTGCGTGGGCTGAAACGCGAGAAACATATTCGCGAATTGTTTCGGCGCCTCGTCGGGATACGCGTTTCTCTTCCGGAAAATATTTTACGACGATCGGAATCGCGGACGAAATTATTTTGTCGTCGCCGCTGCGGGAAACGCTGAGTAGAATCACAATAAAAGCGTCCGTGGCTTCCGGCCTGCGCTAATGCGACTTAAATCGCATTCGGAAGTATTACAGTGGCGTAATTATTGTCGATTAGACCGCGGAGGTGTGCGATTTCATTGACTCTGTGCAAATTTACGGCGATTCTGTATCATTTATTATTTATTCAAGTATTTTCCACTAAAGAGTCTCTAAACTTTGTCGAACGCGAAATAAGGAAACGATCATTTTGACCGTTTGAGCGTTGATTAAGGGAAATTTGCTTTCCTCCGCGAGTAGCTTTCATAAATTGGACGAGGTCTGTTACAAATTGCATCGATTCGCTTCGACGATGCCTGCATGCGCGAATCTGATTTTTATTTTTCCGTCGGGACGTCGGTAATTGTTCGAATCGGTTACAGGATTCGCTCACTCGACCGAGTAGAAAGAAATAAGGGAGAAGTTAATATTTCTAGCGACAGATAAGGATGCGTTCGCGTTCCCTATCGGCTCGACGATCCCCGACGATCTGTAGGGCCTTATACGTGCCACTGGAGCTCGAGTGTTTTGGTGACAAGAGTGTTTGTTTCTGCGACAGGTTTCCTCGGGAGCAACAGACTCTGCCGAATCACTTCTATTTCACCGACTTCGAGAGACACACGGCCGAGATCGCAGCCTTCCATTTAGACAGGTAAGAAAATACTCGTGCCACCGTGCTCTCGAGCACGCCGGTTCTCAAACATCGTTACTGCACTCGGTCGTTCCCCCTTTCCCCTTGTCCCGCGGTTAATCAAATTACGATCGGTGGCCTGCGAGCTCTTGTCGAGAAATGGGGAAAAAATTTATTCGCTGCAATTACTTTGCGAGCAAGCGGCGCGAACTGACATTCGCGAATTAAATCGGGAGAAGCTTCGGCGAACCGTATTGACCCAGTTTTGCAATACTTTGCACGGTTGAGACAGACAATTGACTCTTGTTATTCAACGAATTTTCGAATGTAATAAGAATAGATAAAGAATAATACAAATAATTTTCCTCGGGGAACTGGACTTCAAAGGATCAAATAATGGGAAAAATGGGCTACGAATCCTGATTCTTTTTTTATATATGTATACAATTGAATTACATGTTTGCAACATCTAGAATAAAATATAGAATCGAACGATTGATACTTTCAATAGTCTTCGAAGTCAAATTAAAGTATTTCATTTAATCAAGTATAAGATTGAAAAGTTACATTACGGCCCTATTAAGAATCGTTCCCGAATATTCCGCGAACGTTCACAATAGCAGAATCCCCAGGAAACGCTCTAAGAGAGAGAGACGCGGAGAGCTCGAGAAACGCAGTCGGTGAAAATTCCTCGGTAATTTCGGTTCGTCGATCAGACCGCCGGGAGAGTTTTCCTAATCCGATCGAAAAGTTTTTCCACTCGACGAGAGAAAGGGAGAAGGAGGAAGAGAGAGAAAGAGGTAGAGTAACAGTTTGCTGCAGCGATTCGAACGATTTGTTTGCAGACTGTTGGGATTCCGGAGGGCGATGCCAGTCACCGGTCGAACGTTGAACCTGACGACGGAGATTTATCAGATCGCCGACGGCGAGCTCCTGAAGACCTTCTTCGTCAGTCCCGCCGGCAATATCTGCTTCCACGGCAAGTGCAGTTATTACTGCGATACGGCGCACGCGATTTGCGGAAATCCGGACACCCTCGAAGGGAGTTTCGCGGCGTTTCTGCCGGATAAGCCGTTCGCTGCGAGGAAAGCCTGGCGACACCCCTGGAGAAGGAGCTACCACAAACGCAAAAAGGCGCAGTGGGAGCACGGTGAGTGGTCTAGATCGCGAGACGACGTCGTCTCGACGCCAGGAAACATTCGATTAACTCGTTCGCATCGTTAGCGCGTGCTCTTGATTTCCCCGCTTTCGAACAACTTCATCGAGAGAAGCTAAAAGAGCGTTTGGTTTGCTCGTTTTGTCGCTTAATTTCTCCGGCTACGTACAACCTCTCCAAGAAAAGTTAAACAAGCTTTGGGTCGCGTTTCCGCGTCGCGAAAGAAAACGAGAAAGAATTAATGTGGAATATATGGAAACTTGTATTAGAGAGGTAAAGTTAAATTGTTTTTTTCTTCCACGCCAAATTTGCGAGGGTCGCCGACAGGATCCCTGCGACGATGACGGACTCGGGAAGACGGTGACCCCTGACTCTCCATTTTGTTTCATCTCGATAGCTGAATCGGTTGCCGAGATATCGGGCTTTAAAGCGTGCATTTGAAATGTACGGAGGGATGGGGGATGAATGAGAGGCGCAGGGATTCTTGGAAATACCGTGGCCTAGTTCTTTTTTCCGGGAAATGCGTACGTTACCGGACTGCCGGCGATGGTGTGGTGGTGACGTTGGTGTGCGTGCATGTCGGTGTTAGTGGAAACTGCTGACTCGGCGTCTGTAGCTGACCAGAAGCTCGGCACGTGCCCCTGGTTTGCGGCGGGTCTCGGTGTTCGGGACGATTTTTCCGAGTGGAACGCGTCCGGTTTATTAAAACGAATCGTTTGCTCGGACGTCTAGGGAATCGGTGGTCGTGTCGATACGAAACAAGGCGGGTTACGAATAAGAGGCATCGCTGCATCCAACGCCACCAGTTGCACGCGGAAAGCTCTCGCGCCGCCTCGATGCCAGCTGCTCGAACTATCGCTAATTTGAATTTAAAATGCACGCGTGCCGCGCGAACGTTTAGATACACCGGCGGGATAATGTTCCTCGAAATACATATTCCCGCTGATTAATCGCAGCCTTGTCGAGCTTGCACGAGGCTCGATTATTTTTAATTCAAATGTTGCTCTCCGTGCGCGCGCGCCGTAATTACGTTTCGTATTAAATCTTCGCGATAACGTCGTCGCTGAGCGCGGTATTTCGAAATGCTTCCAGATTCCGATTACTGTTCCCTGGTGAAGGAAATCCCGCCGTACGACAAGGGTCGAAGGCTCCTCGATCTGATGGACATGGCTGTCCTGGACTTCCTCATGGGGAACATGGACAGGCACCATTACGAGACCTTCAAGATCTTCGGGAACAACACGTTTCCTCTACACTTGGATCACGGCAGGGGATTTGGGAGACCTTTCCACGACGAGATCTCCATTCTGGCGCCCATATTGCAGTGCTGCATGATCAGGCAGAGCACCCTCGGCATCCTGCTCAAGTGAGTTCGCCGTCGACCCTCGGACAACCGCGGATCTTTTTATTTCGATCCCATCGGGGCCCGGTCGAATCAATGAGATCAGTGTCGCCCGCGACGGAATTCGCACCCTCTGGGGCCCGCTTTAAAATTCTATCGGTGCCGCGTAAATCCCAGGTCGATCCACGGATCAAACTCCCTCGCCTTCGATTAATTTCTCGCGACCCTATCGAATCCCGCGGGGAGAGAGCCGTCGATCTTCCTCGCGTTCCTAATTCCGCGATCGTATCGACGCGCGCCCGGGATGCTGAATGCTGGGAAAAGGCCTCGCAGGGAAGACGAAGTGCGAAAAAGGGCGGCGAGGGGGGGATCGATCCGATGAAAATTTACAATTCGGAGCACCGGCGGGGCGGCTTCTCCCCGCGGGTTTCGAAAAAGAGAGAGTCGGCTCTCGCTCGTGCCGCCCCGCCGCGCCGGGAGAACTTTACGAGCCGCGCGGCCCGGAGGGAGCCGGCGGGTGCCGCGAGCGCGGATAAGGCGGATTTCGGAGTGAAACGTTTTACCAGAATTGCCCGCCGGTACCTTCGCTCGTGAATCTCCGCTTTGATGCGGATTCACGGGGACGGGCTTTTTACGGCCGCGATAAATTCGACGAGGAGCGGATTTCGTCGACACGCGTGCAGAGCTACGCGGTGACCGATGCTCGGTCATCCCGGGCCCGCGATTATCGATTCGAGGGGTCGGGGCTGGACAGGATCCGCGATGTTTAAGCTGTCGTTACGACCCGCTAACTCGAACCGCCGGATATCTTCCCCGACGCGTATCTCGATCGCGTATTTCGCCGTGTACTTCGACGCGTATTTCGCCGCGACACCCGCCCGCTGTGTTTCTCGATAAAAATTGAGCACCCCGCAGATTGAATTCCCCGAGACACGGCGCGTCGCCTCGATTCCCATCGAAGATACCGCTGAATTCTTTAACCCTTTGCCCTGAAACCACGGCTGAGAGACGCGGTCGGATAATCGGGCCCAGAAACGAGAGCCGCGGTGCGTTAGTTGGAACAAATATGAACTAGTTAGGCGTATGTTAGAATAAGAGATATGCGTTTTGGGTTTTTTCGTTTTCCGTCCTTTAATCGTTTAAACTATGGAACCCAACACCATCGAAATCAAAGCCATCAAACTGTGTAAAGTTTGTACGAGACTTATTGTAGTTCATAAAACTATAAAACTATTAAATCGTAGGGCAAGGGTTTAACCCTTCGCGGTTCAATTCAGTTTTCTCATCTCGTGCCCGACGAGCTGTGTCCCCTTATCGCCGCTCAACATCTTGCCACCCCCGACGACCGCCACGGGGATGATCTTTAAATCCTTTCGCAGCCGTTCTACACTTTGTACCCTCGGATTGGATACAGGCCTTTTTCGGTAATTGTTTCTGCGTTAAGAACATTTATCGGGAACAGTCTCGCCGGCTGTACTGGAAGCAGAGATTTTTGAGAATTTATTCTTAACAAACCGACTTTGAAATTTTGGACATCTTGTCGCACTATCCGAGTGTTAAACGCAATTTTTGTTTCTCGGAGAAAGCACTTATCTTGGGAGTTGAAATATTCATCTGAAAAGGGTGTCACGAATGACGCGCCTGGGAGTGGGGTGATCTACGAACATTTTTGTCTAAGAACTCGACGAACCAATTACTTCGACATTTTCTGGGTACTTTAGTCTCGCAATCGAGTTACCAAAAATCAATTTTCATAGTCCGACAATAATATCTGTAGTCAAGATAGAAATAGTGTTCGTCGAACCCGTTAGAGGCGAGAGCAGAGTACGCGGTTCTTCGACCGAAGCCAGCGTCCCGAATCAATGTACATTTTCGCGAACCGTTTAATAATTGCTCGACACTGCAGATATCTTCTTTCGTTCCCGACGCGTCTCGAGAATAGAATGAAATTGCATTTAAACTCTGTCATCTTGGCACTTCGGCCGGTCGATGTGGTGGCTCTCTCTCTCGCTCTCTCGAGCCGGAATCGTGTGCTGCTCGTTGAGGTCGCATTAAAGAAGCCCACACGCCGCCCATTAAACCCGATATTATAGGATAATTGCATCCTGTGGCTGCTACAATGCAGCTACTTCGTCGTATCAGTCACGGTTGCTTCTTTCATTATTACTTCGTTTTCATTCAATCCCCCATTCAGTCGCGTACCAACAATACACTGGCCAAGTTGCGCCGCTGTTCTTTGAATACATTATTAAACTCTAAAATTTGTAATTTTATATATACGTATATATACATATACATATACTTATACATACATATATATGTATATCTCCTGATTAATTGCCCTAACGAGACAGAGCCCGGTGTGCGCGCGTTCATCGTATAGCTCGCAATCCGAAATTCAAATTTTTACGTGCAGCGTCGTGCAAACTCTGATTGCATTCCGTGGAACGAGAAACAAAGTAAATTGGAGAAACGGTGGCTCCGGTGTAACGAACTTATGGAATTATTTTCATGGGTAATTGAGTGGTCGATTCGCGGGAAAACAGACTGCTCGATCGTAGGAAGTTGTCGCGAGTAGGCAAAATTCTCCTAAAATTCACGGTAAATTGTCCCTAATTTTCCTACAGCTTTTAGACAAAAATGGACAATTTGGAAGTAGGAGATACGATCATTCGAGCCTTGCACTTCGTTTTTATAATTATCAATCGGCAACTATAAAAGTGAGCCGCGAGACTCGAATAATCGTGTCTCCTCTTCCCAAATTATTGTTTAGAAATTGCAGGAAAATTAGGGAGAATTTACTGCACAATGTATCGAATAAAAAAAGGCCGGGAGAATTGATTACACTTCTCGCGGAACTTCCGGACGATGGACCTCGTCTCGAGCTTCGATTAAGTAAATACTCGGAGGAGCTGTCGTCCGGGGTCATCAATTTCCACGGCGACCATAATCGTTCAGACGGTATAAAAGCTGTTCGATCGAGTCTTTATCCCTCCGACGTCGCGAGTCCGCTTTTCTCCTCTCCCTTGTGACATCGAGAAGTAGCCGGCCAGAAAAGTACTTTTATCCGCTTGCCTCTTCCAGGATGCGTCCTTAAACATACATACGGCCGCCTGCATACCGGGTGTGTCCCTAGAAAGCTATTTAAACTGGCGACATCGTCGAGTTCGGTCCGCGAAACATTCGCGAATCAACAATTTCTTCCAGAGATCGATTTCTCGGACGAATCGTTTTGCTTTCGGTCGTGCAAAATCCGTCGCTTCGCGATCAGAAATTCGTCCTCGGTTACTATCTGTCTCGCCGTGTATACGACGCAAAGAGCATCGTAGAGCAGTCGACTTAAGCCGATACTTTATTCATCGCCTCCATTACCCGCTTCGCTTCCCCAAAAATCTCTCGCGAAACTCGCGCGGATACTCGGCTCGGCCGCGATAATAAAATAATCGTCGAACAGTTCAGGAAACCTGATCGCGTGCATTTTCCCAATCGGGGAAGGTCCGTGTCTTCGGGCGGAGGGGGGGAACTTCTAATTACGCGGAATTAGCATTTTTATTGAAAAATTTCTTTCCTCGCCGATCGATCCGGAGGGTCACGTTTTTTAATCTTTCCGGTCCGTCGTCGAGAACGACTTCCGCGGATTTGCATGTTTATTAAAAAAAACGGTCGACGGATCCGATTCGGCGGGTATCGACGGTTCTCGAGCTCGCCAAGATCGTTCGTGTCCTGTTCTTCTTGTCGACAAAGTCGAGCAGCGTTGAATACACCTGACGAGGCGAGGCGAGGCGAGTCGATCAAAGCCGTCTCATTGTTCGGTTTCGACACTCACTTTCACTGGACAGGGAAAAAATAGTTCTCCGCATCCCGCGGCCGTCATTCAGAGACGCGACAGCACAAAAGGGGAAGAAAAGGGGACGGAGCGCAATTTTTGCCGCGAACGAGTGTCAACCGCGTCGCTGTTTCTATTTCCCGGTTTACCGGACCCGTTTTGTTCCGGCAAGCGCGCAGAAACAATACAAATTGTCTGCCGTAGCAGCGTCGTGCTTCGCGGAAACGCCGACAGAAAAACTGCGAAGCAGCGAATTAATTGAAACGCGTCCATCGGGACACCGAAAGTACTTCTATCGGAATTTTCGGTCCCTCGAATCCGCCCGCGAAAATGTATCTTCTTCGATTCGGGAAGAAGTGAAAGGACGTTTCGCGCGAAGACGAAACTTCGTAGAAACGTTCTTAACAGAATCGAAGCTTTCACGGTTTTTGTTTTCAGGTTCCACAACGGGCCGATGCGTTTGAGCGAGGCGATGCGGGAAAGCATGGCGAGAGACCCCGTGGCGCCGGTTCTATGGGAGCCCCATCTGACAGCACTTGACAGGAGGGTGCGCGTGATACTCCAAGCGATCAGGGACTGCATAAATCGCGAGGACTCGAACCAGGTGGTCCACGAGAAGACCGAGGAGGGCGCGTCCTAACCCTTCCTGCAGTTCCAGGTGAAAGAGACATTGAAATCGTCGCTGAAGAGAAGAACGTCGAATGAAAACGATACAGCGAGTTAATCGCGACGGTGCCTCGTGTTCGTTTGTAAAAAAGAAACCCTGTACAAAGTCTGTAAAAATGTCTGCGTGCGAGAGTGAACCGTGAGAGTTTCTTACACACCGCGCGATCCGGGAAACTTTCCGTTCGAACATTGTTATTCTCGCGTTCGTTATCGATTAATTTCCATCGAATCGCCGGATTTCTATCGTCGAGCTTCGAATCCCGCTTCGCGATATAACCGTGTTCGATTCGTCGATTCGATATCCTACTTTCCATTTCACCGTTCTCGCAACTTTTCGCGAGAACTGTACAAAAAAGCCTGTACATAGTGTACGTATGATGAACGTGGGCGCAGTTTTCGAATCAAAAACCATTTGCAACGCCCCCGCTTTCCGTGTACATACAGAGAGAGACTAGAGAACAAAGCGCTCCGAGCTGGAGTATTTTCGAATTTGTACTCGCGCTCGTGTTCTACTCGTTGTTCCTCGTTCTAAGAAAGAAAGAAAAAAAGGCCGAAGCGCGATCTCCGTCGAAGCGACTCATTAATTCGAGCCTCGGTTTCCCACGAGGACGGCGTCGAACATCGTTGCGAATCGAACGCGCGCGCGCGTTCCGGCTGCGTGGATGTCACGATGCGTGAGAGGTCTTTTGTAAGAGCGTGCTTTTCATACGCGTGTGCGTCCGTGACCGTTTCCAAAATGCACCTGTAACCGTAAGTGTTTTTTTCTGGGCAATGAGGAAAAGAAATGAGCTCTGTTCGAGAAGTCTTGGTGTCGTCTTGTCGCTCCCCCGCCCCCGTCTTTCGCCTTCCCTTCCCCGCCGACAGGTAAGATATAATTTCTTAATCGTCGATCGTCGGCCAAGTCGCCGCCGAACCCTTTCACGTTTCTCGATCCTTTGATTTTCCAATCGTCGTCGGTGCCACCCCTTGATATCGCGAACAGCCCTCTGGCTATTGGAAGGTGAAATCAGTTTCCCCGTAGTGAATCTGAAAGGTCCGGAGGGGCAGGTAATTGCGCGAAGATTTAGTACAGCGCCGAGGCACTGTTTTCGACAACGGTCGGCGAAAACAGGCGGTAACTCTCTCTCTCTTCGAGGTGCCCGGAAACGATAGCTCGTGCTCGCGAAAGAATCTCGAAAATTTCAAACGAAAAGCGAGCCTTACTTTCCTTCGGAGCTCGCGGTCGCGACAATTAAACGGACTTCGGACGCCGAAGGGAAAGCGAAACGAATTTCATTTCCATATCCGCGCGCGAAAAGTGGAAATAGCAATTTGTAGAACGCTCTCTCCCTCGCTCTCTCTTTCTCGCTCCCCCTCTGGCCGACTTGTCGAAACAACATTAAACGGGAACTGCAACGAAATTACGCCGACTTCCACTCGCAATTAAGCGGCACGGGCATCGGAGGATCATTAAGCTCGCTTTGAGTATCGGGGACCGTGTTTTTGAAAAGTGTTTCCGATGGAATAACGTTTGTTTCTCTGGGAAAATAGGATGTTCGCGATCGTGGCAGGATTTTCGCCCAAACGAACGCCGGCTACAAAATCTAATGTCTGACCAGCGCCGAACATTTCTGCTTATTCCTGTTTCGTACTCCGAAAGCTTTGTTCGCTTTGTTGCGTCCCGCTACAGTAAATTCTTCGTAATTTAACGCTCTGATTGTACACATAGACAATTTGGGAAGAGGAGATACGATTGTTCGAGCTTTGCGGCTCTCGCTTTTTATTGTTACCGATTATCAACAATTGTAAAATCTCCTCTTTCAAAATTCACCATTTTTGTGCACAATTTGAGCAGCAGGGAGAACGTTCTGTAATTTGCGAAAAGTACCGTTGAAATGTCCACTTAACCCGTTGCCGCACCATTTTCCTCATAGTTGCGATGATTAGCAGTGTTTCGACTGTAATAATTTCTAAGAAGAAAAAAGATAATTTAAATTTTTATCGCGTGTCTACATTTACTTAAATGTTTAAATACTGCCGACAAGAAATCAGAATTTTATTCAGACCGAAGAGAAAGAGGAATAGCGTTCATATTTAACAGATTATTACCAGCAATCTTCATCGCGTGTGTCAGACTCGTCAAAGTAAGGCAAGGGGTTAAATCCTAGTTTAATTCAAGCAACATAATCGCAACGCGACACGTTGAACGATAGAGTTATCGGTTCATTCCGAGAACTGTTCTCGAAGAAAACAAACTTCGGGGACAATCGGTGTCCGGTCGAAGAGATGCTTTTCTCCTTGTCCTGTTTTTAGCCGAAGAACAACCGACCGGTTCCCGAAACTGGCACGAGAAAGCGGGATTACTAGATCATCGCAGGAGCTGTTGACAAAGGAGATAGAGGTCACGGAGCAAGGGGCGGGGAGGGGGGCTGATCAGTGTCGGAATTTTCTAGCGAATCGGGTTTCCAAAGCTCGGAAAATATTTGTTTTCCCCCGGCGAGGTAGGATTTCGTGAATTTTTAGACGTTCGTCACGGCGAAGTTACTTGTTTACCGTGTTATTTTTCGATGGAAGATTCGAGCTCTCGTGACAGCGCGACGCGGCGCGCCGCGACGTCAGACGGCGAGAACGAGGCTCCCCTAGAATGTTTCTCGCAACGTTGTTCCGACGATGATGGTTCCGCGCAGATATCCTCGCGGAAAGTTGCCGCTTTATTGTCGATGCCAGCCAGCACCCTTATTCCGGGAAAGTTTCGCAAGCCGTTGCGAAGTTTTCTCGCCCTCGCGTGAAAAGGTGAACGGTGAATTTTCCACGGAAGATCAATAAAGGGAACCGGACACACCGAAACTTTTTCTTCTGTCGCCGCGAATCATGCATACGATCGCGTGGATCGTTAAGCGAGCGCTCCGAAGGCTTCTCGCTTCATCCAAAAACCTTTCAAACTTCGCATCGATATCCGCGTCGGTTGTCATCGTCGATTCGATCGATAACAATTTCCAGATGCCGCTCCTGTAAAAGAACAACTTCTTTCTCGCCGGAAACTATTTGGTTGCGTAACAAGTCCGTTCGCGAACCTCCGACGCCTAGGAAAAGACGAGAATTAGACGAATTCGAAGCGATAGTTCGGACCAATCTTGAGATACGTTCTCGCGGGGCTATTTCTATGCAACTTGGCTCAAATGAAAGCTGGAACTGTCTACTTTAAGATAGAGCAGATTAGAATACGATAGAGAGACGAGATCATTTTAAAAAATTCAAAGGAATCGACCCCCTCCCTTACATCGTGGGGTTTGCAAGATTTAAATAGAGAAGTTCGGATGGATTTTAAGATAGGTTCCGGTGGAGCTATTTCCATGCAACTTAGCTTAAATGAAAGCTGGAAGCGTCTTCTTCGAGACAGGGTAGATAAGGCAGAAATTGTATAACAAGCTCGTTCGGGGTCGGTGATCGCGCGGTGCTGTATTTTCTTACAAAAAAACGCGACTTATCGCGCAACCTAATAGACGAACGATCGGACTTTCCGGCGAGCTTTCGGCTCGAGGAATATCATGTTTGCGTATAATACGGCAACAGAACGCATTTACTTTCGCGTCGATCGCAATTAAAGCAAACAGATTAAAGGATCAGGCCGGAGGACGATCGGTGGTTCGATCTCGATCAAACGTGATTGAATCACGAAATCCGATTAAAGCCGTGGCGTGTCCATCGGTATCAGAGGGATTACAGTTCAAAAACAATCGTCTGAGTGGCTAAGGTGACGTTGCAAGCAGCTCAGGATCCCCAATCAGTCTTGGTAGCCGTCTTAGGCGAGTTTAGCAAGTGGTTCCTGTAACCGACAGGACCGTAACACGATCTCAATCTCCCTTTGCCAGACGGGGTAGCAGAATGGGCGGGAAGGGGGCTCTCCCGTTGGCACCGACACAGCAGAGGATTGGGGAAGGATATATCCTGTTAATTACGCGATCTCGGGTTTGCCTATGACGTTAGACGTCCCGGCCAGAACGTCTGTTCTCTGACAGCTCGAATTCCCTCTGTAGACGAATGTGTAATCTCGAGAGGCCGAGTTGCTGCTTCGTTTCTGCACCGAATACTGTTCGTTCGAGCAGCTCGAAGAATACGGTATTATATTCTCCCTAATCGACGCTCGGATTGTACACAGAAATGGACAATTTCGAAAGAGCAGTTACGATTACAGTAATGTCTCCCTAACTGACGCTCAAGTTGTGTACAAAAGTGGACAATTTCGGAAGAAGAGATACGATTATTCGAGCCTTGCGGCTCGTTTTTATAATTGTTGACAATTCGTAATTATAAAAATTAACTTAACTTAATAAGACTCGAATGATCGTATCTCCTCTTCTCAAATTGTCCATTTCTGTGGACAATCTAGGCGTCAATTAGAGAGTCATTACTGTATTATTTTTATAATTCTTGACGATCGGTGATTATAAAAACGAGCCGCGAGGCTCGAATAATCGTAACTCCTCTCCCCAAATCGTCCATTTTTGTTTAGAAGTTGTAGGAAAATTAGGGAGAATTTGCTGCACCTCGAATCGCCGCGAAGACTCCTACGGTCGGACGATCGAGCAAAAAGGAGCCTAAAGAAACTATCGAGAAGATAAATCGGGCTCGGACGTTCTACTTCGAAACCCGCCAATTTAATCGGCTACCGAACGTTGAAATTAAAAAGCGACATTCGAATGAAAACGGTGTACGATACTCGAATCGATTCGTGGACTTTTCAATATGTAAAAGGTTCGCGGATGTCGGTCAATTTATTTCAGGCGCCACCAAAAATTTACCGTACCAAGATTCCCAAGGATCTCCACCAAATTTTTGTTCAATAAATTACTAATTTTAACAAACGAAAGCTGTAGTTATTTTCGATCGAACCCGACGATTTCAGGTGAAAAACATCCGCAGCGAAACGTACGGCTCGCGGTCGCCGGAAGGAACCAAGTAGAACAAGTAAGTGAATTATCAGACACTGTATTATCTATCTATACCGAAACTCCTCGCCGCGCAGGTTCTTTGTTTAATAATCGTCGCTTCGCCGAACAAGCTCGCGATTTTCTCGTGAAATTACGTTCGTAGACAGCCCCGGAAGTTCGCTGCCGGTAAATACACGGAGACCCCTTGTAAAACCGTAAGTGGAATAGATTGAAATTACAGCGACGTGGTTGAGGGTGAGAGAAAGAGGGAAGGGGCAAAGTGAAGTAGAAGAGGTCTCGCGCTGATCAGACATCGGNGTTTTTATAATTGTTGACAATTCGTAATTATAAAAATTAACTTAACTTAATAAGACTCGAATGATCGTATCTCCTCTTCTCAAATTGTCCATTTCTGTGGACAATCTAGGCGTCAATTAGAGAGTCATTACTGTATTATTTTTATAATTCTTGACGATCGGTGATTATAAAAACGAGCCGCGAGGCTCGAATAATCGTAACTCCTCTCCCCAAATCGTCCATTTTTGTTTAGAAGTTGTAGGAAAATTAGGGAGAATTTGCTGCACCTCGAATCGCCGCGAAGACTCCTACGGTCGGACGATCGAGCAAAAAGGAGCCTAAAGAAACTATCGAGAAGATAAATCGGGCTCGGACGTTCTACTTCGAAACCCGCCAATTTAATCGGCTACCGAACGTTGAAATTAAAAAGCGACATTCGAATGAAAACGGTGTACGATACTCGAATCGATTCGTGGACTTTTCAATATGTAAAAGGTTCGCGGATGTCGGTCAATTTATTTCAGGCGCCACCAAAAATTTACCGTACCAAGATTCCCAAGGATCTCCACCAAATTTTTGTTCAATAAATTACTAA